AGGTGAGGGGAGCCAAAAAAAAACCTAGAAAATGTTTATTCAAAAGGTAATTTAGTAACCAGATGACAAGAGATCATTAAACAAGGTTTGTATTTTATGTTTGGTTCTTTTCAAAGCCTTCAAAGTTCTACAAATACTTTTTCCTCCCATGCTTGACACTGTCTACCAGTTTTGGACAATACCAGATGCCATGCCCCCCAGAGAGAACAGAATAGGGAATCATCAAGTGATCCCTCCCCCATAACCCATTCCCAGCTTTTGGCAAACAGAGGCTAGGGATGCCATCCCTGCCCAGCCTGGCTAATAGCCATTGATGGACTTATCTTCTATGAACTTATCTAGTTCTTTTTTGACCCCCTTATAGTTCTGACCTTCACAACATCCTCTGGTAAGGAGTCCCACAGGTTGACTGAGTGCTGTGTGAAGAAGTTTTTCCTGTAGATACAACATCAAGAACAGCTGTATTTCAGAAGAGAAGACCATGGAGGAAACAACCAACTTCTCCTAGGCCTGACAGGGAAAGCCCTTTTACAATATAAAACTAAGCACCACTCTCGCTCAGAGTATTCCAAAGGCAAACTTAGTAGCACAGAAACAAACCACAAGTCCCTTGAAGTTGCCACAATCACATTTTTTTTTCCATTCTAAGAACAGGTTGTAACCCTACCGTCTTCATCTGGAAGATCCTCTGGCCTCAGTTCCACCAGTTCAAAACTGTGTTGGATGCACCACTCTTGAGCTTTCTGTCGGGTCACACCTACGGTTATGAAACAAACAGCTTTCTACAGGTTTCATTTTTTAAACTCTGCAATACCATCTGTGCAAAAAATTTTCATATGCCTCACACCTGTCTCCTTATTTTGGATGGTATGGGAACACAGGAAGTACAGAAATAGTCTGGTTCTGTCCATTCCCAACATTGCAACTGGGGATTCGACAGGGATTTTGAGTTAAACTGCACCATATCTTGAATCACTCTTTAAAAATCATATATCAATTCTTCTTTGCAATTAGAGCCGTGACTGACATGTAAATGAAAAGTCAAAATAGGGTTTACTTCTGTTAGGGGCTTGATCTTGAACTAAATGTATTTGCTTTTGCACAATGCGTGCCAACACAGGACTAAAGCCCATCCTTACATCTACTGAAGCATATAGATTTTACACAAGAAAAATGTCCCCAAAAGGCTGACTTTTCATCACGTTGTAGTCAGTACCCCTTCATCCTACTGATAAGCCCAAACTCTGACTCATACAGGCAAATGTATTTCAGCCCGTTCAGCAATGTGACCTCCCATTTAATGCTGTCAATGGTGTTGACAGGTACCAAATATGGGGGTGATTTTTCACTGCGATTACCTGTCCACTAGGAACTGACCAGCACAAGCATTCCATGCAGACAAAGAAGCAGCCATCAGGTGGTACGCTTATGTCACCCCCAATCTGGGCTCGATTTAATTGCAATTAAAGTAAAAGGCACTATCTAATTACAGCCATGCAAATAATCAAATCTAAAGCTCTTATCCATATATTATAGGAAAAATGTAGTAAGATGGCCAAGAAAATAAATAGCATGCTTGATAACTTTTTCCAAACAAACTTTGATATCCTTTGGCATCTTACCATTTTCAGATACTCTGTCACACACTAAGATCATAACCTCTGGTAACCATTCTTCTGCCAGAGGAAGCCATGTAGAGACGCTGTCAAGACCAGACTTCTGGAAGAAAAAAAAAAAAGGTTCTTATAAAAATACCGCAAAGCACTTTGCAACTTTACATTAACAGAATTTTCACATTCATTTTAGTCTTAAAGCTGCATGGTTAAAAGAGAGTCACAAAATGAGGGTTAAGGTTTCATAAGAACAGCCTTACTGAATCAGGTCAAAGGTCCATCTAGTCCAGTATCCTGTTTTCCGACAGCGGACAATACCAAGTGCCCCAAAGGGAATGAACAGAACAGGGAATCGTCAAGTGATCCACCCCCCGTCACCTCCATTCCCAGCTTCTGGCAAACTGAGGAAAGGGACACCATCCCTGCCCATCCTGGCAAAGAACCATTGATGGGCCTATCTTCCAGGATCTTATCTAGTTCTTTTCTGACCAGTGTTATAATCTTGGCCTTCACAGCATCCTCTGGTAAGGAGTTCCTAAGGCTGACTGTGTACCATGTGAAAAAATACTTTGTTTTTTTAACCTGCTATTGATTTCATTTGGTGACCTCCTAAGTTCTTGTGTTAGGAATAAATAGCACTTCCTTATTTACTTTTTTCACACCAGTCAGAATTTTATAGACCTCTATATCACATCACTCGTTAGTCATCTCTTTTCTAGGGCTGTCAATTGACCTGCATTAATGCCTGCAATTAACGCAGGACAGGATTAACACGTTCATTTTTTAATGCATTAATGCCACACTGCCCTTTTGAAGTGCTGCTCCAGCACTTCAACTGGGCAGCACAAGCAGAGCCGGGGATCAGCTGTTCCCTGGCTCCGCTGTTACAAAGCTCCGCTGAAGCACTGGAGCAGCACTTCAAAGGGGCTTTGCAACTCAGAGCCGGGGATCAGCTGGGCACTCCAGCTGATCCTGGGCTCCATGCAGTGCTGCCCCGTTGAAATGCCACTGCGGCATTTGAAAGGGGAGGCACACACGATTACATTTTTTAAATCGCTGGACAGCTTTACTGTTTTCTAAACTGAAAAAGTTCCAGTCTTATGAATCACTCCACATGCAGAAGCCATTCCATACCCCTAATCGTTTTGGTTGCCCTTTTCTGACCTTTTCCAATTGCGGGGGTGTGTGTAGGGGGGGTGCACACACACAAGCACATCCGTCGGCAGTATTCAAGACATGGGTGTACCATGGATTTATATAGAGGCAATATGATAGAGGGTCCAACAGCAACATCAGCACATCTGTGTTGTACACTTGGTATAGGTTCACAATAATAATATATTAAACTATGCTTTTTTAACCCGAGAAAACAGGACAAGCAAATATCCTGTGTCCCCTGGTGTCTAAGTACATCTCACTTGTTCAACTCTTAAATATCACAATATGCAAATTAACTGTGCATTCCTGACTTAGATTACACAAGATTATATTTGTTAGGCAATTTAATATTTAACAGTTTCAATGAGGCTTAAAGTTCATGCCTCCCTGAAGCTAATGAATTACATAGATGCTGGAATGAGGGGTGCAGGAGGGTTTCTGCAGCACCCCCTGGCTTGAAGAGGCTTCCAATATAGAGGAGATTTTTAACAGTCTGGTTCAATGGCTCCCAGCATCCCCTCAATGCAAACTGTTCCAGCCCCCTGGGATGTGGCTCTTGTTTATCTGGGGCCAGCCTTGCAGTACAGGGTGAAAGGTGTCCCTCGGTGGGGGGAGGGAGGGAGAGAGGATTTAAAATGCCCTTTCTTGTTCTTGGTGTGCAAGAGGGTGTGTGTTTGTGGGGTCTCTTATTTTAATGGGAGGAGTGAAAGAAAATCATTACAAATATCTGCCTTGATCACTGTCTGCGGTACAGCAGCTTTGCACAGCTAACAAACAACTCTAAAATCAGCATAACTGGCCTGAGGCGAATGGCCCCAACGTAGCAGCAGTGTCTGACTGCATACGGTCAGGAGTTCCAGATCTTATGCTACCTCTCTTCCTGGCTCTGGTGTAAGGGGGAGATGGTGAAGGAAAGGAACAGTGGATTCACAAGTTGCTAGAAGAGTTTCCTAGGACCATTGTTAATAGGTATAATTTAAGGCTGCTCAAAAACTTACTTTACAGGACCAGCCTAGAGCTGAACCAACACAGGATCTGGAAAATACAAAGATGACTTAATTATAGCAAGAGTCCCAACTATAGTTGTGAATGAGCTGATAATCCTACAGCCAGAACACTAGAACCGGAAGGGTGTCCAGAGGTCATCAAGTCCAGTCTCCTGCCCTCACGGCAAGACCTAGCACCATCTACCATCCCTGATAGAGGTCTGTCTAACCTAATCGCTCCAGTGATGGAGATTCCACAACCTCCCTAGGCAATATACAGGAACAAAAAAAACATTCTTACTGTTGTGCTGTCGAAGTAAACCACAAACGCCTGGACGGATTCAGCAATTTCTGCTGTAACAAGATATTTGTTTGGCACCACACACAGGTGAATATCAGCAGAATAATATTTATTGTCTATTGTCCAGGGGTAAAATCTCACCCCACTGCTTGTAGACACATCTGCAGCTAGGTCTTCTGTTCCAATGATACCTACAAAATCAGAGAAATGAATAATGAGATGGTAAATCAATACCTAGAGTACAGTTAATCTAAATGAGACAGAAGGCTAAATTTAGCTGGACTGTAATACCACCTTTATTCAGAATAGATATTAAAAAATCATCAGTAGTTGTATTGACTCCAAAAGCTCATTTCCCAACATGTTACTATATCCTAGACCAGCAATGGGCAACTTAGGCTAGTGTAAGGAGCAGGTATTTGGCTAATTGTGTAGTCGATACAATTTGTGTAGCCTCTAGGGCCTAGGCTATCACATAGCTTGACAGCCACCTGGTGGAGTTAAATTATAATTAGTCGCAAAGCACTGTAACTACACATTACTGAAATAGTGCAACTGGGATCAAACTGGGCAAAATTATAATGCCTGAAAGTTTTAGAACTGCATGACTACAATGTGAGTGTCAGAGAGCTACAGATCAATATGCTAGAAGGACTAGAAATGGAATAGGCAGTCTTTCAGTTCTCGGGATCAGATCTGTAAAGGTATTTAGGTGCCTAAGGGATCAATGCTTTGTAAATAGGATCTTCAAAAGCACCTATGGGCCTAACTCCCATTGCTTCCAAAAACCTAGTCTCCTGCTCAAGAAGTCTGACAGAATTCCATGTACTGTATATGGGAGGATAGTTTAAATACAGTGAGTAGTCCTGTGGTATCTTAGAGACTCAGGAAAAAAATAGAGAAACTTCAGGGGGTAGCCGAGTTAGTCTGTACAGAATAAACTTAAACAACAAAAGGTCTGGTTGCACTTTATAGACTAACAAAACATGTAGATGGTATCACGAGCTTTCGTGGGCAAGATCCACTTCTTCAGATGACTGGAGTTATGAGTTTAGGATGTGCAGAACCAAAATAAATAAGGGGGGAGGGAAGAGAAGGAAAAAAAATGGAAGGGGGTGGGAAACAAGAAGCAGAGGAAATGAAAAATAGAGAATCATGAGCTTCTGTGGGCAAAACCCATGAGGTGAAAAAGCCTCATTGGCAAGAATAGCACAGTGAAAATAGTTTATACAATGGGATTTGCTACAGTGAGCCTTTCACTATAGCAGAACTGGCCCTATAGCGCATGCCACCCGACATGGAGAGAATTTTAAGACCTGACTAAGCTGGCTTTTGCTGAGGCGATAGCACACGCAACCAAGTACTTGCACTGAGCACAGTAGAGAAACTTGAAAACAGCTGCTGTGTTCATTGATTTAACAGCAGTGGCCTGCTCATGAAGGTATCATGGGTCCTGCTATCTTGAGTGACAGACATTGTTGAAGTTCCCCCCAGCACCGTCTGTGGTGTGGGGGCAGTAGTTCAGGACCTACCCCTGCTGCGGCTCTGCAGTTTAAACGTAGGAGGAGTCAAGCTGCCTGTGCACCTGGCTCCTACTACATTTAACCTGCAGAGCTCCAGCAAGGGAAGGCAAGGTCCAGGAGCTATGCCTATGGACTAATCGCGTAGTTGATACAAATTGTATCAACTACACAATTAGTCAATTACCTGCTTCTTAACATCCTCAGTTCATAGTTCTTATGGGGGAGAAGACGAGTGTTTGGAGAGGACAGAGAAATGGGTTACCCCAGGCCTCTGTTTTCTCCAACCATGTTCAACCTTTACATCAGTGACCTGCCAACAAAGGAGTTATAACAGTTTATTTACACAAATGGCATCTATTGCGGTACACCAGCCTGCACATTTCATTAGCTCGATGCCATATGAAACCAGGACATGGTAAAGTTAGCTGACTATTGCAGGACTTGGCGCTGACAGCCAGCCATCACAAAAACCATCTCCAGTTTGTTCTATCTTTATCTCACCAGTGAAACCCGAGAACTGAATGTTTATCTGAATGGTCAGAAGGTAAAGCACGAAGTGGAATAGGTCTATCTAGGTGTGACCGTAGACTGCAAACAGAGTTACTGTGCCCACCTGAAGGAGGCAGAAGCTAAGACAAGACATGCAACCATCTTCTTAGCAAACTGGCAGGTTTGTCATGGGGTGCCTGTGTCCAGCTTTGTGGAATTTAGCTCTTGGCACCTTGTATTTGTTGGTGGAGTACTGCGTACCAGTATGAAGTAGATTGTCACATAACAATGGTCACACAACAACAGTTCTAAGCTATATTGCTCCTCCTCCTATCAGTTGAGAGGTTGTCACTGGCAAGTTACTGGAGAAAGTACACACCAGCCAGAGCCAGTAACTGATATAGATGTTAAGAAGTGTGTAATTAATCAATCATGTAGTCAACAAAAGTTGTGTCAAATACACAATTAATCGATGAGTGCAGTGCTAACCCTTAATCCCAGCTTGCGCCAGGTCCTGGGAGCTACCGCTGCTGCGACTCTGCATTCAAATTATTTTAGGAGCAGAGCTGCAGTGGGAATAGCCCTCAGACCTGGCATGAGCTGGGACTGAGTTGGGCTGCCGAACACTGCAGAAGATTGAAGGCTCTCTGCTGGCCAGCTGATGGCAGTGGCATTCAGCACACTCTGCTGGCTAATTCAAGTATCATAGGGTGAAGCAAAGTGTGCGGGGGGGGGGGGGGGGGGGAAGGGGGGCGAAGGGGGGAGAGGAATGCATGTAGTCGATAGCATTAACCGATAAGCGGTTGCTCAATCATTTAAACAGCAACACTATTACATCCCTACTCACTGCACAATGGCCTTTTTAAGACAACTGCTATACACCTGCCCTCACATCCCCCATTATGGTCCCATCTGTTATGCCAGAATGTTACAGCAGAAACACTCTGGATATCTGCTATGATCCCCAGCCAGTCCTTTGTCGCCAACCCAGTCTGCCCTGTCACCAACTGTCCCTGTTGAACAGGTGCGGGACAAAGCAAGGTCTCTGTGCAGCTAACCGGTATCAGAGGCCAGTGTGCAGCTGCAGCACAGCACAGCTGATGATGATGCAGTGTCGATGAAGGCCTGCTGGCTAGGTCCTGCGTACCCGGCTCTTAATACAATTAAACTGCAGAGCTGCAGCAGGGGTAGCGCCTTCCCATACCGACTAATCGTGTAGTTGATACACGATTACCCAATTACACACCTCCTAACATCCTTAATCTGGATTCATATGTAATTTTTAACACTTTTAAAATAATTTTTAAGCCCAAAACACTTAAAATCCAAAAATCAGGAAGATCTTTAAATCTAGTGTATACTGTTTATCTTTAATCTTCAACAGCATCTGAGAAATTTCTTCCCATAGTTATCTGCCAAAAGCTGTGTGCCGCATCCAGTATTTACCCTGCACCATTTTACAGGCTTACAGACACTGAAAAAAGAACTCTGTGTTTGTGAGGCCATCAGTTGCTATGATGCAAACACCAAAGTCTCTAGTCTAGACAGGCTAGCAGAACAGGACTGCTTTTTAGTCTGTTTTAAACACACATCGCATATTTTCAGTTCTAACCCTCCTCAAGTAATTTGGATTACACAGCCTTCAGAAATCCCTTTAACAGATTGCCCTTAGCATTCAGGAACAGAGAAACTCTTCAAGGGTGACTTCTCCTTCCAAAATCCACAGAGCTGCTCACTGAGTCACACATCAGTTTAATTTAGGAGAAAGGTAGCTTTAAAACGTCCCCTTGCATGCCAAAACAAATACTTGTTTCTAGTGTCAAGTGTGGGGTTGTAATCAGGCCCGCTGACAGGGTGGGTAAAGAGGGCAACTACCCCAGACCTAGCAATTCAAAAGGGCCCAGGGCTCCCAGTCTCTGTGCAGCAGTGGCTGGGGTTTGGGCCCTTTAAATAGCCACTGGAGCCTGGCTGCGCAGTCCAGGTGGTACTGACAGGCTGGCAGTGGGGAGGCTAGCCCCAAGCCCTGGCCCTTCCAGCTCCCCCCAGCTTGCCCAGGGGCCTGGCAAGTCTGTCAGTTGTAATATTAATCTGCCACAGCCAGATTTAAGTACAATGGCAAATTACTACCATTTGCATGAATTTGATGCTCAGGGTACTAACAAAGTGCTGTATATAATAATGCCAATTCCTACTACACAAACAGTTCACTAATAAACTGCTAATACTGCAATTCTATATTCTGCTGCAAAGTCAAAGCAGTTAAGATATTATTTGAAAAATCCTGGGACTCTTGGCAAGTAAAAAAATCAAACAAGCAATGAAGCATTTCGAAATTCATGAATACCAGTTTTTTTCCCCTACTGGGCCGGTACATGTGGTGCGCTGTTTCAAATGCAGATAAAAGATAATTTATTAACCTGGCCTAGAAGTAGCTATACTGTATCGGGTTTTGGTGCTTTTCATTCCCACATAAAGCATGTTTTAGCATTTTAGTCTGCCTTGTGAAAGTTCTCAGAACTAAATTTTTAGACTTGCTGGCCAGTACTAATGGAAGCTCGTTAATTAAGTTATGTTAAAGCCACCCCCTCCCCAAAAGCACCTGGAAACCATAGGGAAAAAATGACCATTAAGTAAAAATTTGCTATTGCTGTTGAAAACGCGTGTCTGACAGGCCTTATCTTTGCCCTGCTTCTCCCTCTACTTCATCCTTTAATAAAGCTAAAACTGTTTGACAGTCTGTTGCCATTAAAATTACTATAAATTCACAACATCAACATTACAACTTGATTGAATGCCCCATCAGGAATAAAACAGAACACGGAAAGAAGGTCTTTATTGGAACCCGCTTTTTAAGTTAACCAACTCACTAAGAATTATACAGAGGCATGCAAAAAGGAAGTGGGTATGCTTAAAAATAACTCACCAAACTTCACTGTGAAAGACCCTTCACATCAGCTCCCTCCATAAGAAATTTAAAATGTTTACAAAACAGTACAGGCAAAGTTTAACCCTCTAAGAGTATTCAAGAATGTTTTAGAAAAAAACATAACCCCTTTTAGCTTTTTTGTTTTGCTCTTTTATGCAACTTTTCATCCTATTCTGCTTCTGATTATAGACATCTCATCCAAACAATGATTTTGCTAATAATAATGTGGAATTTCTCCCCAAGAACCATATGG